GAATCTTCTCTTTAACTTTACTTAAAAGCAAAAAAACCTTTACTTAATAGCATTTTTCATATTTTTAAAAGATTATTTTAACCAATCATATTATTGCTTTAAATAATAATATAATTTTACAGGGGTTGTAAAAAAAAATACATCAACTTTAAAGAAAGATTCTTTTAAAACTACTTGAAATTAAAACTAAAACTTTAGATTAAAGATTATTAATGCTAAAGAATATATATTTAAAAATTAAAAAAAAAATATATATATGTTTTTAAATAAATTTAATTTAAATAATTTTTTTGCATAAATTTATATATAAAATTAGATGAGTTAACTTATTTGATTTATAAGTAACAGTATTTGAAACTCTTGAAGAAGAACATGTTCTGTAACTAATAAAATTACTATAAATATCTGCAAACAGGTAATGAACAAATATATAATTTGTAAGGAGTTTTAATTTTAATATTTATATAATGTGTATAATAAAATTACTACGATATCGAAAACAAGTAATGAGCAAGTATTGATTGATTATTATAATATAAAAACTATTGTTATGTAATTAACAATCTTTAATAATAAGAATAGGTTTTTGTAATTACAGTTGTAATGTGAGGATCTTTGTGACTGTGATTAATTAAAAAAAATAAGATTTATCGTAAAAATCAAAATATATTAAAAAAACTTGATTTATATTTTTGTATCACCAACAATAACCTTTTATTTTCTATAACTTGTATTGTTGTTTTGTTATAACTTATTGTTCTGCTATAACCTGTTGTTTTGCTATAACTCATATTGTTGTAACTGCAGTAACCCTGTATTGCTGTAATTTGTTGTATTGCTGTAATTAGTTACAGCAAATGTCAGTTGTTACAATCTACATCATTACAACACTTTTGATGTGATGGCATGTCAATTGGACGTAACTATATATTTTCAAATATTTGCATCTATAATTCATATTAACCAGGCTATTGCAAATAAGAAAGAGAACTAGAAATCTAGCTGTGAAGCTCCTGCAATTAGAGGCATATCGTAACAATGGGCAAAATCTACTAGCAACCTTTTGGGGATACCTGCCTAGACACAGAGGAAAAGTGCACAATTACTAGACTATCTAGTTTAGAAGTCTAAAAATCAAAGTTGAAACTTCTGCTATTAGACAAATAGATGAAATTGTCAATACCAACTAGATCATTATCAAATTAAAGAAAATAAGTAATATATATCAGGCTATCTGAAAGTTTGGGAAAAGGAAGCTGGGTTATTAAAGTACTGGAGATATACTGTGAAGTAAGTTCTAGAGTTTGAGTAAACTCTATAAAGGCAGAAATAGGTTTGGGTAGTAGAGTTTAGCCAAACTGAAGTTAAATTATAGAAAGAAAGCAGGAGAAAGTTTAAGCTAGAGAAAAAACCATAGACAAGAACCTTGATCCGGTGTTATGCATAATCCCAGAATGGATAAAGATATTCTATAAAATAGGTGAACAATATAAGAAATAAACTTCACTAATGATTAGTAATCATTAATTTTTTAATAGTGAGTTGCAGAGTTTGCAGAGTTTGCCCACCTATTTTATAGAACATCTATAGATAAAACTAAACTACAAGTGGTGAGTTACAGTCCGTGCATACCAAACTAAAACACAGGCTAGGTGCAGTATAATATGGGAATACTGTAATCTTTGTCAGGTTTATCTTGAAGATAAAGTAGTTCTAAGTTAGTATATGAAAATATACCATTGAGACTAGTTTATAGAACTAGAGAAATAGTGCCAATTGATATAGACCTCAGAGTACATAGGTGCAAAAAGTTTAAATGGATAATCCTCTAGTTGGGTTGCAGATATGACAAATAGAATAGAACTTAGAAATAGACAAACTACTTAATTAGGTGCTCAAAAGGCACAGGTATGACTAAATATACTCTCCAAATAAATATAATGACTGTCCTAACACAATAAAAGCGCAACATGACCAAGAGGTCACCTTAAAAAAAAAAAAAAAAACTTAACCAATCAAAATAGATTATATAAACACCCAAAATTGGCATCTATATACATAGATTGGATGTCTTTTACTGTCCCGTACTGGTACTGTAGTTTTAAAAAGTATTTTTATTAATAAATTAGTAAAAAAACTTAAAAAAATATAATAGTGATTATATTATATTTATATAAAATATTTTTAATATTAAAAAAATAAATACATAAAATTATATGCTTATATATACAAAGTTTGTAATTATATAGGTGATTGTATAGAAATCTAAAGAAAATCGGACTTATACCCGAAGGTCAAATCCGGTTCCAAACTTTAAACACTGAATTTCAATTAACAACCAGATTGTATAATAAATAAGAACAAACATTAAGGTTAATTATCATTAGAGTTAGGTTAGAGTTGAATTAGAATAAAGCTAAAATTTTGTAAGAAATTTTTTAATTAGGCCACACAAATTTATTGTCTTGGTTTTCATACATGAAACTTTTAAACAGACCAGGCTGGCCGGCTTTTTTTTTTAAATTTCATGTATAAAAAGCTTATAAAATTTTTTAAAAAATTTCTTTAAAAACCCACCCGGTTATTAAAAATTTTTTTACAAGTTTTCAAATTTTGACTCGGCCGGGTTATGTAAACCAATGAATTAATTTTGCATGGTCTTATAATATAAAAGATGATTAGACGAAATTTCGATTTAAACGAATGTTACACCTGATCCCATGATATGACTGGCACCGCTGGTGACTAATAGATAAGATTAATATACAGCTGATTCTGAGAATTGATTTTAGTTTGATATGAAATTTTAAAATTTTGGGGTTATTTTTTTTAAAAATTCATGAAAGTTGTTTGAACTTGCTATTCCATACTATATAGTATAATTCAAAATTTTTACCTTCTGCATACTAATAAAAAGTTTTTCTTGCGAAATTTTTGTATTACTACAGCCCTCCAACCTTAATCTACCAACCCTAATCTAATAGTGAAATGTTTTTTTCTAGCGAAATTTTTTGATGATGAAATAAAATCACATGATGTGTAAAATTTCTAAGCTATAAAATCTTTTTTTTTAAAAAATTCATACTGTTAACCCCTGTAATTAATATCATGTGATGACAGTAATGTAAATACAAATGCCAAGAATGTTAGTTCTAGTAGATATATTAGTTTTATTAGACATAGTAGAAATACTAGATATAGTATAACTTGTAGATATGATAGCAAGAAATCGTAATGTCTAAAATGTATAAATAGCCATGTCTCTTTCGCAAGAAGCAATAGTTTCATATTCAGAAGTAATCGTGTCTTCATACACGAATAACTCGAGTCTTTATTGAATAAATCATAAACTTGTTTATACGACTACTTATATCTTCATATACATTTATCCATTTGCCTCTTTCGTAACTGCAATAAAACTTATACGTATTGTACTTAAGCATAAACACGCTAAAGTAAATTGGTTATACCCGAACTTATAAGAGGATTTTCGCGTTACACCTGGTCCTGCACCCCGATTTGTCGATCAGGGGTAGCGGATACCATTTTACACGTTTAATCGAGACGACCGATTGGTACATATGTACGTACATAGACTCCGTTTGCTGAGTTACGAGTAGGGATAGGCAGATCGAGCATTTTATGAAATCCACTGCGCGGCATGCAGTCTGCAGCCTGCAGCATTATACAAGCTGACCAGAATTATGCCAGAATTATGACAGCTGAATTTTAAAAATCACACCGCGCAGTTTCTTAAAAATTCTGCAAACTCAGCGCAGGCTGCGCAGTGGCCCATCCCTAGTTACGAGAAGTGATGTAGCCCAAACTATTTGGTATGTCCCAAACTGTGATGACTAGTATCATATTAGGTATTTACTGTGTTATTATTATTGCCAAAACTGTGTGACATAGTTTGATTCACATCGTTAGTCACGAGAATATTGTCGATTTTTTAAATCTGCAACAATACACTCATACTAACTATAATTCTATTTTTTTTTTTTGTTATATTCGGATAAGGATACAGTAGTTCGTAATCTATATGGTGATTAATATCTGATATAGTCACAGTAAACGCACATACATTCTATGAAGAGATTTTAAGAAAGCTTAATTACGACCAACAAAGATGCAATGCAATTTTATAATGAGTTAAATCAAGCCAAGATTCTTGTTTTAAAATCTTTACAACATGAGAAAGTAGAGCAAATTCGGGTTACTACAAAGGTGTGACGTAATTTACATCGTCACGGATTTGGTCTACTAAACCTATTATATACTTACTCTTTAATTAACGATTCTAACCATTTAATCCTGACCTAACCCTAAAAAGAAAACAAAAAAATGCACCCAAAAAATTTTTTTTTAAAATGTCATATCAAAATAAGGACATCAGCCGCGACGCTTATAATTATGGAGAAAAAAAAGAAATACGTATATGTATAAGCCAATTATAGTTTTTTTTTAATTATTTTGAAAGCAAAAAATTGAAGGAGAAACGCATTATAATTGTTGCTTTTAAAATAGATACCACCAATAATTGGGGAATGTGCACACAAACACAAAATGTTGTGAAACAAAATAAAGTCTTACTAACCTTTTCCGGTGACCGTTCGATCATTAAATTAAGGATCTTCGTAATTCTTCTATGCAGAAAATTTTCTTAAATGTTTTAACATTTCGAAGTAATTAACAAACTATTAAATTAGAAAAAAATGGTTCGTTATATTCATAGTATTTATAATAATAATAATAATAATAGAATGAATACTCAAGTTGAACCAGATAACTCGTCCTCAAACCAATATGAGGTTCCATTGTGCAGGGATAAAAAAACTCCGGTAATATATTCATTATGTTCATTCGAGAGCTTTTTACGATATATTAAAAAAAAAAAGATAACTCATTATCTTTTTCGTTACTTTGACTTATGTATAAAAGGTATACATAAATGTATATGACATGGTAAATAGGCCTTTTGTAGTCGAGTTTGATCGTCAATGATTACTGACATTATATTTGACAAAAAGCTACCAAAAGGAAAGATTGCAGATATTGGTTACATGTTCGGGATCGGTTCGTGTTATTTCATTGATTCTGTCTTGAATATAACAAAATTCGATAAAGTTTTTTTTTTTGACATTTATAGGAGTGTTTCATTCTGGAGTTGAAGTATATGAGAAAGGTAAAAAAAATAATTATTGGAGATCATGTTTTTCTAATACGACTATATAGTCAAGTATGAATTTATAAACCTTTCAAATCAGAATATAATTTTGGTGGACATGATTTTGATTCTACTGGTGTATTTGTTATGAAACCCAGGATGGGACCTCCTAATGTGACATTCAAGTAATTATTGAATTTTGAAAAAATTCGATATTTTATATTAGATTATTAAATTAGTAGATTATTAAATTAAAATATTAATTATTAAATTATAACTATTAAATTATTGAATTATTAAATCAGAGATTCAGTTCTTATGGGGCATACGTCTTTGAGTAAAGAAGATGTAAAGAGCGTTATCGATGGATTATCAAAAGAGTGGAGTGGGAATAGTTATAATTTGTTGACAAGGTAAAATTACGTAATAGCTAATAATTGATGTAATAAATTTATTAATAAATATTTGTATTAGGAATTGTAATCATTTTACTAGTGAATTATGTAATATACTAGTTGGAAAGCCAGCACCAAGTAAGAATATACAAATATCATTCCTATGTTGTACTGTAATACGTTATTTAATCTTTTATTACTTTTATTGTTATTTTTCCATAGATTGGATAAATCGTGCCGCGAAATTAGGAACCCTCTTTCCATGTAGGTTATATATATTTTTGCGCTTCAATTTACATTCATTCTCACTCTCAACTTTTCGATATAATTTTACCTAATTAATATGATCAAATAACATCAGCTATCTGGAATAGTGTTTGGTAATGAATTACTGATAGTTGTCTTCTTATTCAAACATAAAAAAAGTGAGAATAAATGTAAATTGGGGTACAACTAATATTAACGCGTATTTTTTGTTCAAATCCATAATCATTTTTATATAAACTTAAGGTGTTGTTCCTAATGACTGGATCGAAGCACCAGAGGGCGCTGAGAGTGGTAAGATTTTTCAATCAGTCAACCTGTCAATATTGATTAAAAATTATATTAGCTATAAAGAAAATTAATTATAATATTTGATTCAATTAGCAAACGGTCTTATTATCCCAAGTAACACTGTCATAAATGAAGAATCGCAAGAACCTTATCATATAACTGATTCCTAGGTCGTGAATTATTTAGTTGTGTTCTCTTTAGTTCTGTAATTTTTTTTTTTTACCTTTATTAATTTACATATTAATATTATGCATTAAGTATAGAATTCCCTTAAGCATCATTATTATATTTAGTATACTATATTATATACTTAGTATAGATTCATTTGTTATATATTATTATAGACATTTCGATTAAACTTTTGGTTACCTAAATAAGTACAACGATATTCTTGATAAATTTCTATAAACTAGGTGGATAATCTTTAAAAGATTAGTTTTTCATACTTTAATGCATTGCATTCAAAATTAATAATTGCTAAAAGAAAAGGAATTTTCTTCACAAACGAACTACATATATTTGACAGTTTTCGCATGGTCGAACTTTGAAATTATGGACTAACAAATTTTATTAGAATTTCATTGACATTTATCAAAATCAAGATAATTAGTTACCCTCATGTTAATATCGAAATAAACTAAATCATGAATAACAAACTTTAACTTCTGTGTAAGACTAATTTCTAAGGCTGTTATTGGTTTTAACTATGAAGTTTTTTGTTCCCATTAAAAACCATATGAGAGTTGAAATAGAATCATCAACACTAAGCTAAATATATCATATTTATTTGATATACGTATTATAACATTTGCACATAATCAAATACGTAAAAACAAATAAACATAGCCACTCACCCTAGCCCTAATAAAACTCTGCATTTAAATTTTGATTTGACACAAATTTTAGTCTGATTCACGACATATGGGGACACCCATAGCAAAAGGGGGGATGGGACTATATAATATATAGTCCCATCTCCCCTTTTTGCTGTGGGTGTTCCCATATACAAATAGTTTAAAAATCAAACTTATTTTATTTTGGATTTATAATTCAACATAGTAAAAATGTTATTGAAAAATCCTACTTATTTTCGAAATGCGTCATTTATTTG